CCCCAAAACCCCAAAACCCCAAAACCCCATATAGCTAAAAATTATGATTAAAATATCGTTTGTAATTAAAGTTATTTAAATAAGTATTATGCACCAACTGCACTTAAAGGCAGTTTTTCATTGTAATTTGACTTCTTCTACTTACTTTTGAACAACTTCTATCTCTGTCTTTAGTTATGATGAGACCTCTCCCTCCTCTTATTGCTTTGCTTCGTTTTAAATTTGAGACTATTAATGAATCGGTCTGCCATTTATTTAGATTCCATGCTTTGCCAGGTTCTGCTCAGCGCACAGTATTATAGCAGTTCTGCTTGGAATGTACAGCTGAATGTAGTTATTTCTTCCTTGCCACTTCTCTCTAATAATAGGAAAGAATATTTTTTTAGTTGCTGGCTCGAGTCTATTATGACCCCCGAAATTGCGAGAATCAGAATCAAGCAAGATAACATGCTCAGTTCCCCAATTTGTTCCAATTCTATAATGTTCATAACTCTAAGCAAATAATAAGATATTAAATGTAGTATATTACATTTGTTGGATGGAAATTAAAGATGAACAGAAGATCTCCTCTTTCAAAGACAATAAGCTTATCACCATCATGAGTCAGGGTAACATATTAATGGCCACTTGTTAGCCAATGGAACTATTCCTCTAATTCATTGAAAGCTTTATCAAAGTTTCTTAGTTGAGTGTATCTAAGAGTCGGGTTATCACTGAGATTCCATTGTCTTCTTGAATAGTGATAACTAAAGCCATTTCCTTCTCTTGGGAAGTCAATCCATTCAGGATGCCCAAACTCATTGCCCATAAAGTTAAGGTATGCTTCTCCTCCAAGCCCAATGGTTAGAAGTCTAATCATTTTATGTAGTGCAATTCCTCTTTCTACTCTAACACTCATCTACTAGTTAATGCTCATGCCATGATAAATATCCTAGTCGAAAAGCCATTAAGCATGAGTTTTATCTCCAACAATAGCCTGATCATGAGACTCAGAGTAAGCAACACATTTTTCTTTCCATCTTCTATTAGTTAAACTAAATGCAATGTGTCCCATGCTCCATTCCTCATCTTTTAATTCCTTTAAATTCTTAATCCACTATAAGGGTTATTGAATCTTTAATTTTACCATATCTGGGGTGAACATACTCAATCTAAAATCGAATCCCATTCCTCCTTCTTTAACCTCTCTGCACAGTGTGGGCATTCCACTTACATCCTCAGCGATAGTTATTGCGTGTGGGTGAATCATGTGAGCCAAATCATTTACAAGCATCATATAAACAATACCATCAACATCAACATGAGTTCCAAAATATTCCTTGTAATCCCCAGAAAATCCAATTCCAATACCATGATGATGATAAAGAATTGATGTTACTGCATCAAATCTAAATCCATCGAATTGATATACCTCCATATAGAATGCGATATTTGAGAGTAGGAATCTCAAAACTTCATACTTGGAATAATCAAAAAGCATTGAGTCCCATTGAGTGTGCTTACCTCTTGCTCCTGAATGACTGTATTGATGATCAGTTCCATCGAATTAGCTGATACCGTCCAGGACATTTGATGAGGCATGAGAGTGAATGCAATCCATGATAACCATTATGCCGTATCCATGAGCTTTATCAATCATGTACTTTACATCATCTGGATTTCCTGATCTTGAAGAAATAGCAAAGAAATTAGTAACATGGTAGCCAAAGGATGCATAGTAAGAATGCTCTTGAATAGCCATCAATTAAATACAATTATAGCCGACATCCTTTATTCTTGGAAGGATATTATCTGCAAACTCTCTATAGGTAGAAACCTTTCCTTCAACTGAACTCTAGAGAATAATGAGTGAATATAATTTGCTTACCATTCCGACATGCGCCTCGTATATTCTTAATGATTATGGCTTTGGAGGTCTCTAATTTTTGAATTAATAAGTCTCAGGAGGGTTCCAAAAGACTGCTTCATAGAGTAAATTCTGTGGATTTTATCTAGCGAATTTGGTCCATGCTGGGACTCTATCCACTTTTTGCCAATCTTGCTTTGTAATGCAGCACTTGAATCTAGTATCATGAGCAATAGGGTAGGTTCCATCTTCTTTTTTTGGTAAGATCAAAGACCATACTCCGAAATTGTCTTTAACACACTTATGTGACTCTCTATTCCATGCATTGAAATCACCGAACTATAATATGATACAAGAGTATAAATTTTACTATTGAGACTTCTCTTGCTTATGGCGCCCATTCTCTGTATTCAAGATCACCATCTTTATTGATATTGAGTCCAAACTTGTTGTAGCTCCTCGCAAAATCTAAAAATGATCCTGCCTCCACTGCAAATTTATTTTTCCAACTATATATTGAATTGATATTTATATTTGTTACTCGTTGAATTTTAGCTATCTGAGATTGATATCATGTTCGAACTGCTTCAATGATGGATCATCCTCAATGACTCCATAATATTCCTTTCTATTTTGATGCTGATTTTATTGAGGTGCTTAATTAATTTACTACTGCATTATTTGGGTGGTTTATACCTTCTATGTGATGATTTCTCTTTAAAATGTTTGCTATTATTGCTATACTTCAATTTTACTTTCCTCTACCTATAAATTCTCTTCTTTCTATTTAGTTATCTCTAATTTAGTATTGCTTATCTCAGTCAAATCTTTTTATTATTACTCAAGAGTATCGATTTCAGCTTTTGGTTCAACTTTAGCAGTTGCTTATTAAATAGCTGATTCATTGTTAATAACACTAGTTATTTCTTCTTGTTATTATTGTGCTTCCGTAGTGTTTGATTCAACTTCCGTCAAAAGTATGAGTTTTTTGTTGTCAATAGTATCAAGAAAGTCCTCCATTTCAAAGATATAAAATATACAATATTATCAATCACTTATCAAAAATTTTAAGTTAAATATATCCTGGGGTTTTGGGGTTTTGGGGTTTTGGGGTTTTGGGGAATTGTTTATTATCTAAGGTTCTTGGCAAGAG